GGTTATATCTATATCTACACTACAACACTGGTTATATCTACACTACAACACTGGTTATATCTACACTACAACACTGGTTATATCTACACTACAACACTGGTTATATCTACACTACAACACTGGTTATATCTACACTACAACACTGGTTATATCTACACTACAACACTGGTTATATCTACACTACAACACTGGCTATATCTACACTACAACACTGGTTTTATCTACACTACAACACTGGTTATATCTTCACTACAACACTGGTTATATCTACACTACAACACTGGTTATATCTACACTACAACACTGGTTATATCTACACTACAACACTGGTTATATCTACACTACAACACTGGTTATATCTACACCACAACACTGGTTATATCTACACCACAACACTGGTTATATCTACACTACAACACTGGTTATATCTACACTACAACACTGGTTATATCTACACCACAACACTGGGTATATCTACACCACAACACTGGTTATATCTACACCACAACACTGGGTATATCTACACCACAACACTGGTTATATCTTCACTACAACACTGGTTATATCTACACTACAACACTGGTTATATCTACACCACAACACTGGTTATATCTACACTACAACACTGATTATATCTACACCACAACACTGGTTATATCTACACTACAACACTGGTTATATCTATACTACAACACTGGTTATATCTACACTACAACACTGGTTATATCTACACCACAACACTGGTTATATCTACACTACAACACTGGTTATATCTACACTAAACACTGGTTATATCTACACTACAACACTGATTATATCTACACCACAACACTTGTTATATCTACACTACAACACTGCTCATATCTACACTACAACACTGATTATATCTACACCACAACATTGGTTATATCTACACTACAACACTGGTTATATCTACACTACAACACTGGTTATATCTACACTACAACACTGGTTATATCTACACTACAACACTGGTTATATCTACACTACAACACTGGTTATATCTACACTACTACACTACAACACTGGTTATATCTACACTACAACACTGGTTATATCTACACTACAACACTGGTTATATCTACACTACAACACTGGTTATATCTACACTACAACACTGGTTATATCTACACTACAACACTGGTTATTACACTATCTACACTACAACACTGGTTATATCTACACTACAACACTGATTATATCTACACCACAACACTGGTTATATCTACACTACAACACTGATTATATCTACACTACAACACTGGTTATATCTACACTACAACACTGATTATATCTACACCACAACACTGGTTATATCTACACTACAACACTGGTTATATCTACATTACAACACTGATTATATCTACACTACAACACTGGTTATATCTACACTACAACACTGGTTATATCTACACTACAACACTGGTTATATCTACACTACAACACTGGTTATATCTACACTACAACACTGGTTATATCTACACTACAACACTGGTTATATCTACACTACAACACTGGTTATATCTACACTACACTACTACACACTGGTTATATCTACACTACAACATATCTGGTTATATCTACACTACAACTGATTATATCTACACTACAACACTGGTTATATCTACACTACAACACTGATTATATCTACACTACAACACTGGTTATATCTACACTACAACACTGGTTATATCTACACTATATCTACACTACAACACTGGTTATATCTACACTACAACACTGGTTATATCTACACTACAACACTGGTTATATCTACACCACAACACTGATTATATCTACACCACAACACTGGTTATATCTACACTACAGCACTGGTTATATCTACACTACAACACTGATTATATCTACACTACAACACTGGTTATATCTACACTACAACACTGGTTATATCTACACTACAACACTGGTTATATCTACATTACAACACTGGTTATATCTACACTACAACACTGATTATATCTACACTACAACACTGGTTATATCTACACTACAACACTGGTTATATCTACACTACAACACTGGTTGTACCTACACTACAACACTGGTTGTACCTACACTACAACACTGGTTATATCTACACTACAACACTGGTTATATCTACACCACAACACTGGTTATATCTACACTACAACACTGGTTATATCTACACCACAACACTGGTTATATCTACACTACAACACTGGTTATATCTACACTACAACACTGGTTATATCTACCCTACAACACTGGTTATATCTACACTACAACACTGGTTATATCTACACCACAACACTGGTTATATCTACACCACAACACTGGTTATATCTACACTACAACACTGGTAATATCTACACTACAACACTGGTAATATCTACACTACAACACCGGTTATATCTACACTACAACACTGGTTATATCTACACTACAACACTGGTTATATCTACACTACAACACTGATTATATCTACACTACAACACTGGTTATATCTACACTACAACACTGGTTATATCTACACTACAACACTGATTATATCTACACTACAACACTGGTTATATCTACACTACAACACTGATTATATCTACACTACAACACTGGTTATATCTACACTACAACACTGGTTATATCTACCCTACTATAATGGCCATAATACAAAACAACAAATATGAGGTCATTAGACGGAACCAGGATAGGATTCGGGTGGCCAGTGATCCTCAAAAGGATCACACCTGTTAATATTGTTATTAAAAGAGAGAGAGAGAGAGAGAGAGAGAGAGAGAGAGAGAGAGAGAGAGGAGGGGGGGATTAATAATAACCTACCTAATGTTCTCCCTCTCCCGAGGATCACCCCTTACTATATTTTCGTTAGCGGGTCATAAAAAAGATCGACTGCCTTACAGTAGTATTTAACGTCTGGGAATCTTTACGTTAGTAATGTCTAATTCACCTAAGAAGCCCCTCAAACCTAGAGGTACAGGAGGTACCCGTAAACGCCCTTTACCGCAATCTAACACTGATGATGACAAAATTTGCAAGAAAGAACAGAAATTAGAAATTAACTCACCCGAATCATCTGGTAGTGGTGTAAAGCGAGGTAAGACAATCACTAAGAGGGGACGGCGCTCCAGGTCAATTAAAAACCTAAAGTAAGAAGTCGAAGGCCTCCCAGTCATCCTTCCTAGGGATCTAAAATTTGGAGAAAAGTTGGGAGCAGGAGCTTTTGGCACCGCCTACAAGGGCATCTTACGCCTCGGGAACGATGACACGGTCGTAGTGATAAAAAAAATATGCAATCAAATGAAAGAAGCGTTTAAAGAAGCAAAAGTATTGCAAGTGGTGGGCGGGGTCGCTGGGGTGCCCCATTTATATGGTGTTGTTAAAATCAGAGATGCCTGTAAAAAGACTGTACTAATTGTTATGGAGTTTTGTCCGGGCTAAACCTTTTCCAATTTTTTTTTAAATGCTACTGTAAAAAGCTGTCTTCTTGTGTTTTTGAAGCTAGTCCTGGCTATTGGAGACCTTCATAAAGCAGGATACACACACGGAGATATCCACGGTGGCAATATAATTGTTAAGAACGGTTCAACTGACCCACAAGTCCGATTGATTGATTTAGGAAATGCTTGCCGGCTAAAGTAAACTACTGTTAGTTATAACGATTATTCTTCCTGGTCTAGGGATTACTTATATGCGCGTGAACTGCTGCAGACGAAACCGCCGACTTGTTAAGTATGTCTACAAGAAGAAGAAGAATTTTATAGAGAAGCCCCAAACAGGGAACCGGCTAACACGTCTGTTCCTTGGGACCTCATTGTTCTTGCCATACATGCGCTTTAAGTGTGAGTATAAGAGTCTGCCGGAACGTGTTCCACATTACAACACTGGTTATATCTACACTACAACACTGGTTATATCTACACTACAACACTGGTTATATCTACACTACAACACCGGTTATATCTACACTACAACACTGGTTATATCTACACTACAACACTGGTTATATCTACACTACAACACTGGTTATATCTACACTACAACACTGGTTATATCTACACTACAACACTGATTATATCTACACTACAACACTGGTTATATCTACACTACAACACTGGTTATATCTACACTACAACACTGGTCATATCTACACTACAACACTGGTTATATCTACACTACAACACTGGTTATATCTACACTACAACACTGGTTATATCTACACTACAACACTGGTTATATCTACACTACAACACTGGTTATATCTACACTACAACACTGGTCATATCTACACTACAACACTGGTTATATCTACACTACAACACTGGTTATATCTACACTACAACACTGATTATATCTACACTACAACACTGGTTATATCTACACTACAACACTGGTTATATCTACACTACAACACTGGTCATATCTACACTACAACACTGGTTATATCTACACTACAACACTGGTTATATCTACACTACAACACTGGTTATATACACTCTACACACTACAACACTGGTTATATCTACACTACAACACTGGTTATATCTATCTACACTACAACACTGGTTATATACAACACTACACTACAACACTGGTTATATCTACACTACAACACTGGTAATATCTACACTACAACACTGGTTACATCTACACTACAACACTGGTTATATCTACACTACAACACTGGTTATATCTACACTACAACACTGGTTATATCTACACTACAACACTGGTTATATCTACACTACAACACTGGTTATATCTACACTACAACACTGGTAATATCTACACTACAACACTGGTAATATCTACACTACAACACTGGTAATATCTACACTACAACACTGGTTACATCTACACTACAACACTGGTTATCTCTACACTACAACTCTACCGAGGCTCCATTCTTACTACATTTTAGTCCACTAAAATAAATCGACTGCCTTGGTATTTTTCGCCTGTTATAAAATTAATTACTGTTAGTAATGTCTCACTCACCCAATAAGTTCCCCGAGCCAAAAGGTAAACAATTCAAACGCCTTCTACCTCAGTCTGACTCAGATGATGATGAACCGTGCAAGAAAAAACAAAAAAATGAAGAAAATTCACCCATGAAGTCCATCGATTCTAATGGCAGAGGATGTAAGCGCCCTCTACCTCAGTCTGACTCAGATGATGATGAACCGTGCAAGAAAAAACAAAAATTAGAAGAAAATTCACCCATGAAGTCCATCGATTCTAATGGCAGAGGATGTAAACGCCCTCTACCTAAGTCTGACTCAGATGATGATGAACCGTGCAAGAAAAAACAAAAATTAGAAGAAAATTCACCCATGAAGTCCATCGATTCTAATGACAGAGGATGTAAACGCCCTCTACCTCAGTCTGACTTAGATGATGATGAACCGTGCACGAAAAAAAATAATTTAGAAGAATGTTCTCCCGAGTCTTCTGTTAATGGGGTAAAGTGGGGTAAGAAGAACTCGGAGAGGGAAGGACGCTCCAAGTTAGTTGTGGGCCTAAAAACATAAGACAAGGACATCCCATCTATCTGCCGTGCATAACTAGAAATTGGCATGAGGTTGGGAAGTGGAGCTTATGGCGTCGTCTACATGGGCACCTTAAAACTCGAGAACGGTGAGTTGGTTCCTGTGGCGATCAAACAGTTTGAACTAAACGCCAGATTTTATTTTTAGGAGGCCCGGACAATGAAGGAGTTGGAGGGGGTCGCTGGGGTGCCCAAACTTTATGGTGTGATGGTGGAAAAAGGGTTCGGTTACCATGTTGCTTCACTCATTATGGAATTTTGTCCGGGCTAAACTTATGACAGGTTCCTTTGTGAAGCTGACGTAAAAACTTGTCTTTTAGCGTTTATAAAGCTAACACTAGCTATAGGAGACCTTCATAGGGCAGGTTACACACACGGAGATATTCATAATAGAAACATTATTATTACCACCGATTCTAATGGCCCCCAAGTTCGGTTGATTGATTTTGGAATGGCTCGCAAGTTGGCATAAAACGCCCAAGATTTTTTTTTTTGGTCTAGAGACTACTTATGGGTGCGTCGCACTGCAATGCAGAGACCGCTGGCTTCTTGCACATCTCAAGAAGAAAATGAATTTTTTCTTATAGCCGAAGACAGTGGCCCAGGAGACTCGCCTATTCCTTGGGACCTCATTGGTCTAGCCATACATGCGCTTTAAATTTGAGTGAAGCAACCCTCCCGTCACGTGGTCCACTCACCCATCCACCTGATGAAGTTTGGCAAGAACAGTAGGAGAAATGCCAAACATAGTAACTCAATAAAGACATATAATGCAATGTGTACAAACATTATTTTGTTGAATGGAGTCCAAAGTAGGATGACGCCGGAAGGGAAGCACTGGAGTTGTGGAACGTCGGTGAGGCGAATCCAGAAAAAAGTTACAGAGCCTTGATATTGATATTAATGTTGATATTGATATTGAAACAGTTTAGTTGGCCAGAAATATGCAGATGCAGAGTCGATAATATTAACAATATTGACATGGCTAAGCCAAGTGAGAGCCTGAGCTCTCTTAGTGGGACCTGATACATACTGCACATTTATCTCAAGGAAGTATTGTGTAACATTTGGTAACATCTGGAATAGTACACGTAACATGGTGTTAGTAAGAACATATCAGAATCTTACCGCGATTGTCACTTCTGTATTTTTGTTTTCATTTAAATTATAAGTATGTACAGTCTCGTTCAAGATTCTTCGAAACCTGCTGGAGACAGCTGGCAACTCAAGGCCGTTTGTGTACTATAGTACGTAGTATAATATAATACGAAACAACAAAGCCCAGCCATTAATTAAGCAACGGGGAACTAAGAAACGAATCACTGATAACCTTTTACATTCATTCATAATTTTTACTACGTACTATAGTAAACAAACGGCCTTGAGTTGGTAGCTGTCTCAGCAGTGTTCCAAGAATCTTGAACGAGACTGTACATATTTTACAGTGGAGTTGATATACATTAATATGATATAAATTAATATGATAAGTGAGGGAAGCAATACAACATGGGTTGTATTAAGGTAAAACAAGAGAGCAAAAACAGTTGGGATCATGTCATGAAGACATACTGTATATATAATTATTGCAATGGTAATTTCTATCTTCAGTATCTACATGACAATATTTGACCTAATGGTTTTAGTGGTACATTAATGGCAGGGATATAAAGTTATTGTTAAAAATTATTAATACATAGACACTAGATATTTTTTAAGATATATTTAACCCTTTTACCGCGTGTCACGCACTTGCTATTTTATTCTGGCTACCGCTAGTCGATTGTATTCAGTTTAGGGTAACCTCCCGCTGTGAAAGGGTTAAAGGAAGGGAGCGTAGCCTTTGCTGGGATGGGTGGGCGTTAGTTGTTCCACACCTTCACACCGTGATATTTCATGGAGGGTTGGGACTGAGAGGAGCGCATGGGGGTAGTTCATAGTAGCTCTGGGTGTCTAAGCTGTATCTCTGATTATTCCGGAGCAGGAAATAATTGTAGTCAAACAAGTGACTGACAGATTTGTAAACAAATAGGGTACAGCAGTTAGTGTTTATATCCTCGAATTATAATATTTTCAATTCAGCAAATTGTTCATTAGTATAATCACAACTTTTCTGTGCGGTGATCAGAGGCCCCCCATACTGTGTGACAGTGTATCAAGTGTTGGTAAACAAGATCATAATAGATTTCTTTCATTGCTGCAAGAGTGACTGACGAGTGTGATAGAGGTTACCGCGCTATTTATTGACTTTACTGTGAATGGCATCGGCCATCCTCGTTACATGAGGGGCAGCCATTATCTTACTGTGAATGGCTTGTATGTAGTTTCTCCATTTTTTTTATGGGCTTAGCCCACCAGGGCACATCCAATGTCCCACATCAGGGCCTGGGGGCGAAATAATAATAATAATAATAATAATAATAATAATAATAATAATAATAATAATAATAATAATAATAATAATAATAATAATAATAATAATAATAATAATAATAATAATAATAATAATAATTAATACTAACAATTAATGATAATAATTAAAAATAATAATAATTAATAATCAATAATAATAATAATAATAATAATAATAATAATAATAATAATAATAATAATAATTCAATAATACTAACAAGTAATGATAATTAATAATAATAATAATAATAATAATAATAATAATAATAATAATAATAAAAGACCAAAAATAAATACAAATATTTAAAAAAGATTAATAGTGAGAAACGATATATGTACTCGTATGTTGTGCTGTTAAAGTAAGAGAAACAATTGAATCCCTGCAATTGTGTTTAAATGAAGCAGAAAGTCATATCAGCAACCTGGGACTTGGTCACAATTTTTGTGAGGCCATATGGAAGCAGGGTCTACCATTAGACAACACATTATGTTTCCAATATCTTCGCAGGCTGCACTGTTAGAAAATTCAGTATTTTTTACATGTTTCTTCCGTATTTCCGACCAGGAAAATGTAGTAATTTGAATTACTTTTTTTCTTCTGTAAAATATTTCAGACACTCTCTTTCCCTGTTTCAATTTGTTTAATTATCAATATGAACTGACATTTTATCATACTATATACACTTCATGATGCAAAGAACATTTAAAATTGCATGTTAATGCTGTTATTTCTATATTGTAATTACTGAATATGCGGTTGGCGGTTGTTTGTGCTTCACGATCGTCGTATGTCCGTGTTTGTTTACTGTACATCTGTACATTATTTAAAAGAGCGCCACATTATCACAGGGGGGGAAGGGGGTGCTGGTGGAGTGGTACCGCTCTTGCCTCGCAAGCAAGTTGTCAGGGGTTCGATTCCCGGGCCGGCGGAAGTTGTTTGGACATTCTTCCTAGTCCCCTTGGTCCCTATTCACCTATAGCAGCACAGTAGGTACCTGCTGTAAATCGAAAGTTGCGAATTCGTATTCAGGGATAAGTTGTTGGAGCTTCCAGTAACTTCCAACAATCTGTTAATTCAACAGATATTTTATGTAAAAATATATACAAAATCTCTGTAATTCTACAGAAAATGTTTTGCAACAATATAACCAGTGAATTTTCTGTAAATTTTTTCAAGGTTTTTTTAACAGTGTGTAGTACCTCCCTGTTTGATAGCTTCCTACTACTGTACCTATTAATTTACCTCTTAGTTTACCATCAACAATAACCCGAAGGAATTTAGTATTTTGTTCACGTTTGAGGACTGTATTACCAAGGTACAGGGGGTCCAAATTTGGAGTCAAGTTTTTTTCTTTTGTAAAAGATTGAGTAGTGGGATTTTTTCTCGATATTTAAGGTCAGTTTATTACATATTACCCAGGTACTGACTTTAGTCAATTCATTGTTCGTAGTTCTCATCAAAGAATGGAGATCTGAGTTGCTGGCATAGAGATTACTATCGTCCGCAAATAAGTTGTATTTTACGAGTGCGCTGGAGTGGACTATTTCACTTACGTACAACATGCAAGAACTGTACAGGACCGAGAATGGAGCCTTGAGAGACGCCATATAAAATTGGTGAGGAGTCAGATTGATGATTATATAGCAGACATATTGCGTCCTGTTAGACAGATACGAGGTAAATGAATTATGGGATAAGCCGCTAACGTCGTAATGTTCAAGGTTAATTGACAAGAGGATGGTATGGTCAACGGTATCAAAGGCCTTAGAGAGGTCCAGGAATATTCCAACTGTGAACTGACTGTTATCAGAAGGAATTTTGTCAACTACATATCTCACCTATGGCTGGAAGGCTGACTGATAAGGGACAGTATTTTTTTTAAAAGACCTTTAACCCCAGTTTGTTTATATGCTGGTTGAACTTCAGCAATTTCAGTTTATCCGGAAAGACGTCACCAGTGAAGGAGGAGTTACAAATGTGTTGGAGAACAGGTAGTAATAGGTAGGCTACTTTCTTAATGATGCTCATTGGTATATTGTCGTTGCCTGCTGCTGCATCTTTGGACGTTTTTATGGTCAATAATAAATTCATCTGCCGTGACAAGTGATAAGACCATTTAATTTTGCTGTCTATTTTGCAGGTAGGCTCTAAATTCCTCATGGTGATTAGGGATGCTCTCTGCAAGATTTTTGCCAACATTGATAAAATAATCATTAAAGTGGTTGGTAATGACTGAGGGTTTCGTTACAGCTGTATCATTTATCATAAAAGCTGAGTGGGGAGTCATAGGTTGAGTGTTCCTCTTCTGAATAGTATTGATGATACTCCAGGTTTTCTTACTGTTGCCGGATGTTGACTGTAGCTTATTTGTATAATAGCTACGTCTGGCAGTTCTAACTCCTTGAGTTACTCTATTTCTGATACTTCGGTAAGCATCACCGAAAATTATGGGTATTTTTGCAAATTTAAATTTTCTTTAGAGTTTGAGTTTATTTTTATTATTGCCCTAATTTCACTTGGAGATAGATACAGCTTTAACTAACTTAGTCTTGAGGGAGAAGCATTTATCAAAG